GGATAACGTGCAATAACTTACACAAAAAGACACACACCTGCACTAGTTGTGACCACGAATGGCCACCTAGACTGGACGTCATTTACAAGTGGGCATATCTTTTTCACATAAAACGATGGTCAAGTACAGACTAAAAGTTTGGGGAAAAAAATTACCCGAGAATACTTTTCGATAGCGTTATGAAATGGTTACAGCTATAATATTTGTTTATCACTATTATACAATTACAATGACCAATGTTAATGAACATAAACACGCGGATTTTTATTTTGATGTTGGTATTTTACGTCAATGAATGTAAATGTTTGGATACTAATACAACAGGCTTGTGAGTTGAGCGCCCTAACTACCAAGACTGTTGTACCAGTATATAAACATTTACATTCAATGACGTAAAACAACATCGAAATAAAATACAAGTCGAGGGATCGAAACCCGTCACCAAGTATGCTCGACTTTTCAGCCGTTATAATGTTACGGTCAATCTCATTATTCGTTGGTAAAGAGTAGCCCAAGAATTAGCGATGGCTAGTTTTACCTAACTTAACATATAAACACTGCTGTCTGTTAATTTGTTTAGAGCAAAGCCACATTAAGCTATCTGTTGTGTCCACTGCGAGCTCCGGACTTTAGCGTTGAAAATCAGTAAACTTACCCTTGTTCCACCGAGAAACACACTTCTGTCTGACATGGGGCTCTGATGGATGACGTTTCAGTACCCCAAATAGTATCATCTATACCTACCCTTCCGTCCCTACTCCTAATATCATTTGTGCATAATTGAATGAAGTTTAAGAAGCTTCTCAGTAGTGTACGAGGGTAGTTTTTAAATTCTGTTGTGTGATGGACATGTGCAGAAATAAATGCGGAAAACTCTAGCCTGCCTCGTTTTGACCCAGTGATTAGCGTGCTGGGCTGTGGACCTCAGGTTCCATGGTACGTGTCATGTGGTTACGACAAAAAAAAAAAATCTCGCTCCACACTTCAGTGCATTGGGCGCGTTCTTAGAGTGATAACCAACTCCCACTATTCACTCAGACAAGAGTATCCTGACAGTTGGCAGTGGGTATTGTTGACTAGCTGCTTTTCCTCTAGTCTTTTTTCAAAATTAGGGACAGCTCACGCAGATAGCCCTCGAGTAACTTTACGCGAAAATCAAACAAGCATTTCTCTTTTTGATAGATTGGCCCACATGTCCTGACGTAGGTGACATGGCATTCTGGGAAACTCTAGCATACATTGAACTTGTATGTAGTTGTGAGAGAAGATTGTTCTTACTTGGAACAGCTTAGTGGTTCTTCAGTAAATAGTTCCCCATATTTTGTTGTTCGTATGTTCTTTTTATTTTGCTAATTGCAATACAAATATTACTTTTCAAAGAGAAACTTTTGTGCGTAAGTTTCTGTACTTTGTAGCTATGTTTTTAATTTGTCAGGATCCGCAACCAAATACTGAAACATACCTTAATTAAATCGGTTATCGGTATAGTTACGTCAGCGAATATCCTACACAGCTTTTGCAATCTCGCAAAAAGAATAGTTTCCGGATGTATACTTTGCATGTAGATATTATATCTAAGAAACACCATCAACGTTATCTGGCTTATATCGCTGTCTTACTAAACATGTGCGCTGCTTCTCAAGATTGTAGTTGGAAATAGAACACGTTCTCGCCTCGTGTCCAGAAAACAAGGTTGCCATAAGTAAAACTGGGACATGATGTCTCGTGTAATTTTAAGCTTTTTTCTTATAATCGCCAAAACCAACAGCTTAGGTAAGCATAGAACTTAATTAATTATTTTTTCTACAAAGATGTCTTTGTTAACATTTGTCTATTGAAGTGATAATATTTCAGTGGCATTCATGTGATTTGTTAAGCTAAGAAACTAGAATCGGACACCAAATTTTAATTCAAGTGTATTCTATTTATACAAGTTATTTTTCCTTAAAAAACACACAAAACAAAAGTGAAACTTTACATGAAATTTACCCTGATTTACATACTAGATGGTACAATGTGTTCTAAATAAGTAATAAATTAACTATAACAGGAAAGAAGAATTAAAATAATATCTATACTTGATACCACCAACTGGCATATATATATATATTGTTACGTCTCTGTACGTTTGTTAATTTTCCGAAGAAACTTTAGCGATACAAGTTTTGTCTTAAATAAAACTAGTTTATTCTTTCTCAATACAACTTTGAAATTCACTTAATTTCCACC